TATTTTACTAATAAAAATTCAATATCATAACTGGGCCACTTTGTGATTAATACAGGGTGTGGGATGTAGGTGGGTGTTAGATGAAATTAACACCCACACATTCAATATTTATTATTAATAAATAATATTCTTTGATTTATTTCTCATGTGGACATCCATTTTTGAATAATCTCTAAATATAAATATCGAACTTTATTCCAATTAAGTTTATTTCGTTCTTGAAGATTTCCACCAAAAGATTCTTTAGCTCGAAATGCCCATGGAATAAAACGTAATTTAATTGGATATTCTTTTTCTAATTGTAATGCTGGTTCTAATGCTAAATATGTATATGGTGATTTAAAATCATAATAAAATTTTATTATTTCACGTGTTTTTCCAGTTGTGTATGAACGAATAAATCTTATTGGAAACATTCTTGAATAAAGAAGAAGAACAAAAAAAGGAAGAAAAAGCCGGCAAATTGATTTTCTTCACCTTGTGTCATTCTATTGCTTCGATTTTTCAAACAAAAGCAAAATCAGCGAAAAAAAAGTCTTCTGTTGTTATTCAACAATAAAATACAAACAAATATAAGACAAGCTGATTGTAAAAAAAACATAAGAGTAATAAATAACCATATAATGTGTATGGTAAATTACATGTCGAACAATAAATATGGGAAATATCAGCAACAAGAAAAAAGAAAAATTCGAAATGTTTGTTTTATGCCGCTGTTTTAGGACGTTTTTTCATTTGTGCAAGACGTTTCTTTTTCTCCGCTTCTTCACGTAAAATATCTTCAATATCTTCTTGTAAACCTTGTCGTCGACTGAAATCAATGAAATAATTTTTCGAAAAATTTTTATTTGTTGATTATTTTTAAAATATACCTGAATTCTTCTTCTTGTTCTATTCGATCAAATGATGATTCCATATTTTTTAAGTCTTCATCCTCATCATCATATAAAAATCGTCTACGATATCTTAAAAAAGACATTTTAATACGTATCTATTATTAAAAAAGATCAACTTACTTTTCTTTATCAAAACCGAAATTTTTCTTTAAAGTTTCTTGAAGTTCTTTTCGATAATCAAATTCATCATTTTCATCATCCACAATAAAATCACGCATTTCTAAAAACGAAAACAAAATAAATTTCAATTTTACATCTTAACCCTTTGAGTCCTGAATTTTTTCTATCCAACCTAATTTGATGAAACCACTAGGAATGATAGAGCTAGGTGTGCTAATGAAGTTCCACTATAGGACAGATTTTGTTAATCCCATATT